CTCTTCGGCACGGAAGTACTGGATACGTCAGGATCCACCAGAATCTGCTGAAAGCTGAACCGTCAAACTACGAAAAAGTCCGGAACCGATCCACTGTCTCTGGCTGAGTGAACGAGTTACTCCGACAACTTTGGAAGCTGGCCTTTGCCTGCTTCTTCTCTGGTGATATGGAATAGTGTAGGAGAGAGCCTTGTCTTGGAACACTTCATGATCTGGTGAGTGCTTTAAGCATTCACCTCGAACGGTTACTAGATGCATTTCAATAGGGCTATCCTCCGATCCAGAACTTCTTCAGTTTTCAAACTTACCTACTGTTCAGGGTCCTCACTGTAGAAACATCTTTGACATTTCTGGGGATGTTCTCTCTGGCAATTCGCATCCTACCATAGGTTTCTCCCACATTTTCTGACGAAGAAGTGTTTGGTCATTCTCATTGAATGAATCACGTCGCATTCTCATTGAAAGAGTCGCGTCTATCGGGTCTGGGCCATGATTCTGAGAAAATTTTGGCAGCATTTCGCAGCTACTAAAGCATCCACTGGAAGAAAACTTGAAATTCTGGAGTCTATAAGAAGAACTCCTGGATGAGAGAATTCCAGAGACAAAGACGTTCCCACATAAATTAGATATCATGCTTCTCACGAGGACGAGACTTTCCGAGCGTTTATAACCGGGCAGGCCCAAACTTTCAGAAGAGGGTCACAACAAGAAGGTACCGAAATCCAGGTCGTAAAGTTGTGAGCTCAAGAAGCATTCTTATAGAAAGGAGCACCGTGACCGTTCAAGGCTCCTGTCGCTACGGTATCCGGCCTTCTTGTTGGGTTTCATTTATTGGAAATTGCTCCGTGTACCCAGGCCCTTTCTCGGAAATGTTTTTTCCAGTCTGCACATAGCCCTTTGCATCGCGGCGATACAACAATTTCAGAGCAATTTCAAATAATTGGCCAAAATCTGACGTCATATTCTCTTCCTCGGAAAAGCTTACTTTTTTTGAGCAAAGCTATTTCGCATTCGACTCGATTCGAGATTTTAATCTATTTCAGCAGCAATTAGTAAATGCTGAATCTCAGAAAATTGCTAGTTTAGCGAAAACGGCTGGAGCGATTCGCAAAATTCATGGAATAGGCTCAGTTAATAAATTTGAGGAAAAACGAACCTACAGTTTCGAGATAGCACGACCGGGGAATCAAAGGGGGTCCTAGGCGTACTGAGTGTAGGTGGGAAGTGCTGGAGAAGAAAGTTGAGAAAAAACTGGTAGTTCAATAGAAAATTTGACAGCTGTCAAATTAAGAGGCCTACTTCCATCTGCTACATTGCTACAGTGAGAAAATTACTAATTAAAAACAGAGACAGCCAATAGGGTGAAGGAAGCCGGGTCGTTTGGGAAAACTCTGGGTGGGGAACTGGGAGATAAGGGTTTTGGAAGGAAGCTTTTGTTGGCTTGCTTCGTTTTGAACCCTTTCGAGACCAGGAAACGGCTGTTAGCAGTAATGTTATAATCAATGATAACGAAATAGGGTAATAATAGATGGTAAAATTTGATGATACCAGTAATACCTATTATCCTAGGATTAAACGAATCAATAAAATCAATGTTGAGAGCGATGTAGACGAAGCAACTGTTGCATGTGGCAGCAGTAGCACAAGAACGGGCCAGAGCCTGAGCCCACCTACCTTTCAGCCTTTGTTTATCCACCCAAAGGGCGATCAATATCAATAACACAGTGAGAAAATGCCCATTGTAAATAAAATAATTCAATATTTATTCATTAGGCTTCCCCGTTTCGGAATGGAAATCGAAAACATGGAGACACTGCATGACAAAAAATTGAGAAAAATTCAAATAAAAGTGGAAGGCTATAGCTATAATTAAATGCAAAATGGCAGCTTTTTCCTAGTGACAACTTGCCGAAAAATGAAAACTCGCATATCACAGGAAATGGATGAGAAGTGAATGGATGAAGTGGCAAAAAATGACAAATGAACTCTTATTAAAAAGTAAAATGAATAATACCAAACATAGGCAACGTTAATTCAATCGATTATTTGAGCAATAATAAAAAAAAACTCTCAAATTAAAGGAACATACTCAAAAAGCCTGCATACTGTACATGCGCGGACGGAGACTACAGGCACGGGACGGCTGGGACTGGGACAGGACAAGAGGTGGCAATGTGCTTCTTACCGATTGACAAAACACTGAGCACAATAAGGTGGGTAAGGATTTTTGTCTCGTCGACAAAGTAAAAGCTCTAGATATGTCATAAAAATGGCTCATAACAAACATATACAACAGGATAACATCGAAGTAGTTAAATGCCTTCAAAAAAGCCGATTTTCATGGGTAGAGTAGCTTCAATACCGACCGGTGTAGGAGAACCGCTGAAATATCAAGTAATCCAGCAAGTCAACATGAATACGTCCTATCTCTGTTAACTACTGAGGGTAAAGTAGAAAAGGATGACTTTTTCATTATTAAAGGCACAATTTACAATTAAAATGAGTCCCGAGATATCCCTGTAGAGTATAACCATGACCCAAGTATGCCATATGTGACGCTGTCAAATAGGGCGTAATAAGGGCTCAAAGGGTGTATCGGCTGTATGCCACGCCCGAAGGAAGGACGAGTTTCAACGGCGTTGTAGAGGCCGCACCATTCGCAACAGAGCACACATGTTGAAGATTCAAACAACCAGTCGTGACTCATGGCGACAGTGAAACGCAATTCTTGGTATTTTTGGCATACTACAGCCAGTCCCAATGGCACACAATCGAAAGCTTGTCTGAATATCCCTTCTATGCCACTCCTGGGTGAAAAAGTGCTGCCAGAGCCTTTCGTGTTCTGCGTCTCTGACACTAGTCGGCATAGTGCTGCGCTCGAAAAAGGATGATTTCCTCCCCCTCTCAAAATTAGGGAAAGAGCTCCGGGGTGAGAGAGATTATTATCTCGTGCAGAAAGCTGGAATGGGGTAAGAATCGAACATCCATTTGGTTCACCCATCCCGGAGCTCCTTCCCTAACTCGAAGAAGGGAAGTAGCTTCGGGATGGGTAAGATGACTAGATGTAGGTAAGAGCACAAAAGGGCCTGGCACCCCCNCCCCCCCCCCCCCCCCCCCCCCCCCCAATACATTTTCACCCCACTCCCCTCATCATAACCTCGTTCTCGCGTAGACCCTTTTTTGGTACTTTTCCAAAACCGTCCTTTCCGAGAATCGTTCGAATTTCGCGCTCTTTTTGCCATCTTTGCGCCATTCTGCGCCATAACATATTCATTATTTTACCTCATCTAAGTATCTCAAAATCATCATAAACTATGCCTTTGAGAACGAATCTGTTTCTTCAGTAGTTTCGGAAATACTTAAAATTTCAGAATTAGCAAGAATTTTTGTAAAATCGAATCGGTAGCTGGTTTCTGTCCTTTTATTTGTTATTTTACGGCTCTTTTTCAAGTGATTGTTTAAAAATGCCTTCGAGATTGGACAGTTGATTAATATAAATCTTGTTAGTTGACAATTACTATTGCAAAGAACTTTTCTTCAGACGTTCTGACCTCAAATGAGTCGTGTTTGATAGGGTGGTTCGTCCGCTCGGGTAACGAAACTCACCGAAGGGGTGTACCCGTTGTATGGCGGTGATGGTTGACGACTCGTTGAAAGATTTGAAGTTGGTGAGTTATTCAATTTCCAATATGAACCATACAACGACACCCGACCAGGCTGAAACCTCCCAGTGTTAGTTACGTACAGCTTAAAGGTTAGGTAAACATGGCTTCTTATTTGTAGTTACCTCAAGAAAACACAACAAACAAACACCAAACTCGAGTACTTTGTGAGATTTTTGTTAAAGAATTAGTTGTAACGAATTATGAACTTTCAAGGAGGTCTATGGAGAGACATGGGAAAGGAATCCCACACTGGTTCAAGTGAGATCTTGGGTAAGAAGAGGGCAGCTATTTTAAGGACCTATAGAGAGAGGTGCCCACATCTAGAAGCAAAGACTAGTGCGAACCAAACCTGCTATGCCCAACAAAATTTAGCGCCCCGTGGGGACTGAAAGACAAATATGGGAAGAAGCTGGGTTCCAAGAGTTTTCCATGCCCTCGGGGAAAAACTGATACACTGGTAGTGATACTGGATGGACTATACTCCTGAAGAAGACTGGTAATCAATGGCCATGGCGAGCAGTATTGAATTGAGAAGGGTATCAACCAGGTTGATCGGTGGGTACCAGTTTACTGGATGGTAGAGTAATTCCGATATATACCTGATTATAAGCAGACATTTCACTGCTCATCCTGGCAGCCTTTTCCAAGTGATCCTCATAAGAACCTTCCACAGGTTTCCCATTTCGCTTCAAAGCATACGACGTTGGTTGAACCGAGTACACCGGCCCATATGGGCGTAGTTGTGCGGACGAAGTCCTTAATAGGTAGTCATCAAAAGGAACATAGTACTTGAACTCATCGTGTACACTACACCACTTTACTCAGAAGGATGTCTAACCCACCTTCTTCGGCAGCAAACAAAAAGTGCAATCGCGATGAGCAGTAGGATCCACACCACAACGATGACGCTCGGAATGATGATGGCCATTTCTGAATTGGAATTTCAACTACACGGACGAAAAGGAATGATCTCTTGGTAGAACTCACTGCTTGCAGCAGCTTCTGGATCATCTTCTGGCTCAAGTGTTGTTGTCGTACCAGCTGTAACAATCTGCGGCCGCTTCGGCGACGTCTTCGTCGTCTAAAAAAAATTGGACCAGCCGTTGTGTATTTTTTAAGAAGTACAGGCTATACCGATAACAGATAGATCGGAATTACCGTTCGTATCGTGGTAAAGACGAAGATATGTGGAGCAGTAGTCGTCGGTGATGTAGTGGTCTGTTCAGTGGTCGCCTTCGTGGTTGAAGGAGATTCTGACGCCTGAAAGAATTTTTCTGTACTCAAGTATATCTTTTGCTAAAGGGCGCCTAAGGAAATGAGCCCATCACATGTCATGCAAGTACAAGTAGAGGAAAAAGGATAAAGTTCTTGGGCGCTGACCAGTCCCGTCTAAGGGATCGCCTCGCATTCGACTATCATTCTGAGTCGCAGTGAAGTATTAGATGCGTATTTGGCCCATACATTGACTTGCGGTGGCCAGCCGTTGTTTAAGTCGGTGCTTTCCATCCTCCTAAGGCGAGTCTAGTATTAGTTAACCAAGAAAAGTCGGTGGTCCAAGCGGATGTCGGTCCGAAATTCGAACCCGTGACCAGGCGTCGGTGATAGTGCGCCTATAGCCGCTATACCACTTGTGCCCTTCGCAAGTGAAAATATTGAGAATAAATTCTAGTTCGAAAGTTTTAAAGGGTGTTTGTGGTCAAAGTAGTTGGCCTAGATTGTTAGTAAAACAACTGCTGGATTCTACCAGTAACGCTTGCCACTTGTATCGGCATCATCCCTTGTACATTGATTTGTTCTATTGGGAGCCTCTATGTCTCAGTTCAGCCCCCTCCCCGATGAACATCGATTTTCTTCACTGTATGAGTCAGGTTTCCTCGACTGCCGCTCATACCTTTGAAGGACGATTTCCTTCAGTAAAGGCACTACGTCTCAGTTTGTCCTGTATGGGAGCCTAACCTGACTGGAGGACAACCCTAACACGGTAGCTCCGATGTGAATAAGTTTTTTCTGAGGGACCAAGGTGTAGACTTTGTGGTCCAAAGTGGTCACACGAACGCACGTGCTTTGGCACAATTGATCTTCGATTTATTGGTACGTGGGTGGCGTCGCTGTCATTTTGGAGCTCCAATTCGACACTGCTCATGCCCAGTTACTGAACCGTCTAAGAAAATAGTTTCCCTTTCCTGCTTCACGTACATTAAGGTCAATTTCTAATTTTATTTCAAATTCACTACTATTGCTTTTCTCTTTTTTCTTATCTCGAACTATTTTCAGAATGGAACAGCTCTGAACGGGCTCCAGGACCACTATTATCTGCTCTACTTTTGAAGTGTTTAGCACAAAACTTCTGAACGAACTAAAAGGTTCGTGGTACAGGTAACCTCAAATAGTACTGCTCGGTATACTAGTAAATGATTTCAAAGCAGCGATTGGACATAAAAAAAACTTCGAACCTTCTCGGTAGTCGGCTGCAGCTCAGTCGTTTCTCGCTGAGCTTCTTCAGCGATATTGTTGGACTTTTGCGAATCTCCTTCTGCCTCGACTGCAGCCTGAGTCTCCTGGACAGCGCTGGTTGTGGAAGATGTAGATGCCGGGTTTTTGATGGTGGGGTCTGGTTGTGAATTGTCTAGAGACACTGTAACGAGGGTATCCTGGGAATCGGCTAGCTTGAATGTGGGGAATGTTGATTCCGATGTGGAGATCTGAGGAGGTGATGTAGTCGTCGGGGAGGTATCCTGAATGAATTTCATTCAGATGAGCACAGGAGAGGTATAACTTGGAACTTACCTGAACAGTGAAATCTGGATGCTGCTTCGATTTCTCTTTTGGTGTAAACATCTCCGGTATGACAGTAACAAATGGTGGGAAGGTAATCTCAAAGACATCTGGGTCCAGTTCTTCGAAATCACGTTCACCAAGAGAAACAATTGGCCTGAAATTCAAGAGGTAAGTAATACCCATGTCTATTGGTCAGCATGGAATGAAGGAGACGGTCGTCAGTGTGGAGGAGGTCTTAGCCCCTCACTGTCAACTACATTCTCAACAGATGTTCAGGGACGACAATCGGCCACGGTTGATAGAAAACTAAACAACCGAATAACATAGCAATCTTTTCTGCTTGCACTGACCGATGAGGCGTGTTCTCGTATCGAGGACGTGGTCGAGTTGTTCGCGTTGGTGTGGCAGAGGAACGTTCCGGCAAGGTTGGAGCCGAGGTGACTGGCGCCTGGAAATACGTATTGTAGTATGCGAATTGCCACTGTCCTGAAGCAGTTTATTGGAAGGTCTTCTCTCNGTACCCGAGCCAGGTAGACTGACAGACGACGAGATGTCATTTGTCATGATTGCAGCCTTGAATAAAATGGAAATACGAACATAACTACCATGAAAATAATTTGCTCCTAGCCGTTGGGAACCGTCGGCGGAGCATTCTAGGAAACGAAGCAGCCTCACCTCAGCGCCTTCACCCCATTGCATATCCTTGTAGAGCATTTGAGCGAACGTCATTTTCTCTTGTTTGCTGTTTGTTCCGCCGATGAGCAACGTTTGGAAGGTGTTTCCTCTCTGGAATACGATGAGTACGGTCAAATATATTGAAGTCTAGATATGACACGGTCTACCATACAGCCTGTCGGTTCAATGGAAGTCTAAACCTGATGGGAACTAGTAAAACTTGGGACCGGCTGTACAAGTGGCCAGAAAAGAGGTATCTCAAAAAACTGACAAGTAGGCGTATTTGGAAGCCATAGGGAAAGCTAGCTGTAGAATAGTAGGAAAGAAAATTCCAGTTCAGAATTCATTGGCAATTGTCATCACCA